CCCAAATCTGTGGCCCCACAGACCCTGAGCCCTTTGCCCCATAAACCCCCCAGACGAAGGAAAAAAAAAAAGTCAAAACGTGTTTATTTTATTAAAAAAAAAAAAATTGTACAATTTTAGTCCCTCTATGAAAAAAAAAACAAAACAAAAATAACCAAAAAAAACCAACAAAAAAACCAACCAAACACCACCCAAAGTTCTACCACTGCCGGAACGTTCCGAGCCACTGCAAAAACTGTAAAAACCAGCTTTTTTTTTTTTTTATATATTAAAAAACAATTTTACATTTTACAACTTTCTACAACGCATGCACAAGGTCTGGGCTCTGCTGAGAGGAATCAAACCCACCCCAAAAACGGACCCAAAAAAGGCTTTTTTTTTTCTTCTTCTTCTTCTTCTTCTTAAACTCCCGAGTGGAAAAATTCCCCCCTCCCTGGGCCGACCCTTTGGGGTTTTTTTCGTGGGAAAACACCCCAAAAAAACCCAAAAATGGGGGGGTGGAATTGGGTCCTTCGGCCTTAAGAGGGGAGCGGCAGGAGGGGGTTAAAAATTCCCCCAAAACGGAGATTCCCTGGAATTCGGGAAAGCCAAGCCCGAGCTTGGGTGGGGTTGGACCCCACAGGACCCCACAGGACCCCACAGGACCCCTCCAGCAGCGGGACTTTGCTACTGGTGCTGCTGGGAAAGCCTCTCCCTTCCCCTACCCCCCAAATTCACACCCTTTTAGTGCTTTTAGGATATAAAACAACCCCCCCAAATCCAAACCCTCCTCGGGGTGAAATCGGCCCCTCCACGAGCAAACCGACCCCGCAGGGCCCGGCCCCAAACTCCCACCAGGACTGGATGTGGGAAAACGTGGAAAAAAAGTGAAAATCAACCCATGAGGTATTTGAGACCTTGAACAGAAACCGGGAGAAGGCAAAAATTTTCCACGTCCCGACGTGGGAATTCCGTGGGATCGCCACAGGGACGTTAATTAAGGACCTTGTTGACCCCTCCCGGGAGCCCCTCGGGGGCTGCAGGTCCAGGGCTGGACCCCAGGAGATGTTTTGAGCTGCTTTGCCTCCAACTCCAGCTCCGACAGCACTGGGAAGCCCCATGGAAGTGCTGCTGGAAGCGGGAATGTGGGGTCACCTCGGGAGCGGTGAAAACCCCAGAACCAACCTCCTGCTTCTCTGAAAAAAAATCAGATTTCTGCTCGTTTTTGCTAAAAAACCATCAGCAGAGGAGAGGAGGAGGAGGAGGAGGAGGCTCCAACAACTTGGAGTGTCCTGGAATGCCAGGGGAAGTTTTTTGTAGCAGCCACGGAATGTGGAGGTGTTTGAAAAATACTCCCCCCCCCTAAAAAAAAAAAACAAACCCCAAAAAATCTCTAGGGTTTAAAAAAGCAGCCCTAAAAAGGCCGGGCTGGAAGTGGTTTTAAGGCCAGAGCCAGGACAGGGAGGAAAAGGGGGGGAGGAGGCAGGAGCAGAAGATCCCGGTGGGATCCAGGGGGATGCTGGTGAGGAAGGTTTGGGATTAGCCCTTGAGTTGTGGCACCGTCGCTGCTCCTTCCCCTGGGGAGAGATGCTACAAGGCCCTGGGTTTCGGGGAGGAGGAGGAGGAGGAGGAGGAGGTGGAGGGGGAAGAGGAGGAGGAGGAGGAGGAGGAGAAGGGGCTCAGCCCACCCCCGGGTGACCACGAGCCCGGAGCCGCTTCCCGGAGTCCCGCCCAAGGTCCTTGGGGTCCTTGACCACCAAAATGACCCCCCCGAGGTCACCCCCCGAGGTCACCCCCCCCGAGGTGACCTCCCCGAGCCCCCGGCGGGGCCGGAGGGGAGCGGGGAAGGGTCTCCCCCCTCTCCCACCACCCCTCTGCTCGTCTCTCACACCGAGGTCTCTGACTGCAGCCTCATGATGAACTTGTGGGACTTGGGGTCCACGAACTCCTCGGAGAGCTTGAAGAAGGGGATCTTCTTGGTGCTGACCACCAGGCTGAAGTCCTGGCGCTTGAGCACGAAGACCACGCCGTCCTTGAGGCCGTTGGTGACCGGCTCCTCGCTGACCAGCGTCCACTGCTTGGCCAGCCAGCGGTCCTTGTGGTACTGGATGGTGGGCCCGGCCGTCAGGTACCGCTCCAGGAAGGCCTGGGGGGGGGAAAGGACACGGGAATGTCATGGGAATGTCATGGGAATGTCATGGGAATGTCATGGGAATGTTACTTTCCCGTGGCTCAGCCTTGGGGTTTTTTTTTGCAGCCTCAAGGTCCTGCCTGAAAAATGTCCCTGGTTCCCACTGTGCTGATCCCGTGGGGTCACACTCCCTTCTCTGGCTGGATCCTGGGATTTCTGAGCTTGGGAAAGGCCTCCAAGATCATCCAGCCCAACCTGTGCCCCATCCCCACCTTGGCACTCAGTGCCACATCCACTCCTTCCCTGGGCACCTCCAGGGCTGGGCACTCCCCCACCTCCCTGGGCAGCCCCTTCCAAGGCCTGAACACCCTTTCCATGGGGAAATTCCTCCTCATGTCCAACCTGACCCTCCCCTGGCACAGCTTGAGGCCGTTTCCTCTTGTCCTGTCCCTTGTTCCCTGGGAGCAGAGCCCGAATCCCCACCCTGCTCCAACCTCTTGTCCTGGCCCACCCTGCACACCTTGGGCGTCATGTCGTGGGTGATGCAGAACTCCAGGTGCTGCAGGATGCTCTCCATGGTGTGGTAGGGCTGCTGCTTGGTGGTCCTCAGGTACTTCTGCATGGCCCGGGCCATGGAGGCGAAGATGGCCTGGGCGGCCTCGCGGGGGTCCATGATCTCCCGGGGGTTCTTCTGGTCCTCCTCCTGCAGCCTCTTGATGTGGGTGAAGGCCTCTTCCACCGCCACCACCAGCCTGTGGGGACGAGAGACGTGGTGGGATGAGAGAACTCTGGGTTTGGGGGGAGCCTCTTGCTGCCCAGCTGTGGATGGAGCTCGAATTCTACCCCAAAACGGCTCTGGGGGGGATCCCTCCACGCCATGGGACGGCCAGGGGTGGACTGGGAGTGCTGAGCCACGGAGAGAGGAGCCCACAGAGGAGCAGGGCTGCTGGGAGAAACTATGAGGGGACCCACGTGGGAGCAGCTCCTGAAGGACTGACCCCGTGGAACACGGAGCTGGAGCCGTTCCCGAAGGACTGACCCAATGGAATGTGGACCTGGAGCAGTTCCTGAAGGACTGACCCCATGGAATATGGAGCTTGAGCAGTTCCTGAAGGACTGACCCCGGACCTGGAGCAGTTCCTGAAGGACTGACCCCATAGAATACAGATTTGGAGCAGTTCCTGAAGGACTGACCCTGGACCTGGAGCAGTTCCTGAAGGACTGACCCCATAGAATACAGATTTGGAGCAGTTCCTGAAGGACTGACCCTGGACCTGGAGCAGTTCCTGAAGGACTGACCCCTTGAAACACGGACCT